TCTGGGTTCACATCTGCTCAAATAATTTCTTTTGGAAGGATCAGCACAGGGCTGGTCCCTATAAGCCAGAGGTTAAAGATGTCCCAAAGGTCCAGATTTTGCCAACTGCTATACCACTCCATCATCTCTAAAATCAATCCCTCTTCCTCCTCTCAGTACTTTCCCTCCCATCTTAGGGTTCCTTATTTAGCTGTGATGTCTCACAGAATTTACACACTGACAGGGAGGCTGGCAAGCCCCATATCCGTGGGTCAGGTGTACATCTGGAGGATCCTCCTCTCTCACGTGGTGCTGCTGCTTGAGAACCCAAATTGGCAGTTCAGACGACTGGCTTCTGTCTCATGACCAGAAGTGACATTGATGACAAACCAAATGTAGGATCCCAAGGAAAACAGCGCAAACTTGGCCCAAATATTCACATACACTCAAGGAAACTAAGGGTAGTGAGTTGAGTCACAACCTCCAGCAAGGCAGGACTCAAGTTCATCCCCCACTAAACAGGCGTAGAGGCTGGAATTTACAACACATTACAAAATGGAGGACTATGGCTAGAAGGGCCATAGTAAACAATTCACTGCACTGCAGTATCAGTCAATATTATTAAGATTTTTAAAGTTTCCTTTCTGTTGATATATATTCTTCTTTCCCCTTACAGTATACGCTTTGGAATTTCCTTCCAAAGAATCTGTTTGAACAGTTTAGAAGAATTGCCAATTTTTATTTTCTCATCATTTTTCTTGTACAGGTAAGAGCTCCATAAATAGCTATTCATGTTTAGAAACTTGGTTACTTCAAACAAATTTTCAATCCATTTCTAACCTTAAAATGCTGTTTGAAAGACACTTAGGATTTATTATTAATATAACTTTTATAAAGCAGTAATCACATTTTAAGGTTTATATGATTTTTATATATTTTCAAAGTTCTGTTTTTACTGGAAAACTTTTTTTCCCTCCCCAGATTACTTTCTTTAAAGCTTTTGTGTATTTCATGACTCTGTTCATCCTAAAAGGACATAATGTTTTGTAGTATTAAATGCAGTGGCACACATCATAAATGAAAAGAGTTCAAGCTAATAGTTTTACTTTGTTAAACACCTATGAGAGCTTGATTGAAGCTGGATTGCCAGTTTCACTTTTGGTCACTCACTCATGTACATTCAGGTCTAAAGACTGGTAGATCAATCTGCTTCCCTACATTCCTTCTGATGTTTTAACAATTTGGGACATTTTCAATTGTCTCTCCTATCTTTAAGGCTATAAGCCATTAAAATCTCTCACCAAATTACTCCTGAAAATTAACACTACATTAAAAGTACTTAGTTTCTCATTTCCTTTTTCAATTGAAGCAGAAAAATCCCAATGAAATTGTGCAAATGAGTTGTTGATTTTAAATGCTTTTGTTTATCCACTTTGAGGCTTTGAGTGAATGGTACTATAATTGAATTTAGCCTGCTACTTAGAAACAGGCTGGACTGTAATATGGGAAAGAGCCAATTGCAGTCTTGAATGATGGAACATTTGAAAAGGAGCACCCCTAGATCCATGGTCAAAATAACAGCCACAGAGAGGGTGCTGCTTGCAGGAGTCCTTCTACTTGGCCTGTGGTGCATTTCTGTTAACTCAGCAGATGTGTAAGAAACACCTACTGCGTGTCATGCAGTAATGCAGACAACAAAAGATGGTAGCAGAAACAGTGAAGATTAAGACAGGGCTTTTCTACCCTTAAGAAGTTCATGTTATAACTGAGAAGATAGCCATGTATCCACATATGTGGTAAATTTCATACAAGTGGCAAGAACAAAATGCTATTGGAATATGGTGGAAGTTAGGATTCTTTCTAACCAAGAAGAGTCTGAGAAGGCTTCAAAGAAGTGAGCCTTGAAGGATTAGAAGGATGTAACCTGGTGACTGGCATCCCATAGGTAGGGAAGAGATTGTAGAAAGGCCAAGAGCCATGTAAAAAGAAAGCCTGCTGTGTTTATGGAAGCTTGTGTGGCAGGGGCAGGTTTGGCTGGGAGTTGAGAATAAAAGTTGATGGGTTTTTTGGGCAGAATGAACTCATGATTTTCTTTCTCCTCCAGTTCTCTTTTCAGTGACATGTGATACCATCCACTCAGGCACATTAATCAGACACTTGGAAGACATCTTTGATCATCCCCTACATGTAATCCCTCACTAGTCCTGCCGTTTTTGTCTCCTAAACTGTACCTCCTAAACAGCTTCTTTCCATATCTCTGCTACCTCCCTAATCTAAGCCATCATTCATCTGGATTACAGGAGTAGCTTCCTAAACAGAGTCCTTGCCTCTACTGTTTTGTTCCCTTCCAGTCTGTTTACCACCAAGCACTGAGAAGAGTCTTTTCAAAATGCAGTTCTGTTCATATAATTTCTCCCTGCCTAAAGCCTTTAGTGACGTCCCCTGTGTGGGGAATAAAGAGGGTCCTGCATGGTCTGGCCACTGGCTTCCTTCATTTCCTTAATGTGCATACTGCCTTCTGCCATAGGGACTTTGCATTCGCTGTTGACCGTGCCTCACAAGCCCCCCTTTGCCTAGTTAACTCTTACCTTTCAAATCTCCACATCTGTAGGCTTCTGATGATTTGTTTTAATGTCTGTTTTCCCCTTTATGCTGTTAGCTACATGAGGGCAGGATGTAAGTGCTGCATATGCATTACTTAATTCATAGACTATCACTTTAATTTCTCCACCCAGGTCACAGTAGACACACCAACCAGTCCAGTTACCAGTGGACTTCCACTATTCTTTGTTATAACTGTTACAGCCATCAAGCAGGTAAATTTCTTATTTATAATTACACCTATGTTCTAGTCCAGTCTTGTTTGAATTTCATCACCAAAGCTTATTTTTCATATGTAGGTAAAATGGGCAGTATCCTGGTTGGATTTCGTTTATATTTGGTTCCCATTGAAAACCTATTTGATTTTAATGCATATCCTTAATTTCTTTGCTCAGTTCCTCCTCAATGCCTGTGTGCAGGAGTGAGAGCATGTAACAGAGTAGAGAGAAGGTACAGCTCAATTGGAAATTGGGAAGTGAATATTTAATGTGCGTTGTTTTGCTCTGCTACGTCTGTCTAAAAAAGTCCCATTCTAGCGCCCTTTTATTGTTACTGTTTATAGCAGAGAACTCAGGAGCACAAAGACTGTAATTCCGTCATCTTTCTATATGTTGCTGAAGGACCTGGGGTGTTAGGGGATATTTCTGTCTCTCTTTCTTCTTAGTCAGAGCTGCTATGGATTGAGATGTTAATGTCTTTGAAGCACTTTAAAAATTTTATATGGTAGTGACTTTGAAAATTTGCAGATGAAATTGATAATGGGAACAGTAAACTGGGAATGAAGGGGTGGGTTAACTATCTTTATCATGTATTGGGATGGTCCCCAGGACCTGACTAATTAACAAGCATACTTTTGGACAATAATTACCAAAGTGCTTTTTAAAAATTGCCCAAAGAAGCTTAGAAAATAAAGTTGTATTAATGGTTTTTGGAACAAGGGTACCCTTTCCTCTTGAGGTTATCTCTTTTTCCATCTTGCCTACCATAAACTGCAAGAATATTTTTATCGAGTGTTTGGCTGCTAAATAAAAGAGTTTTGCAATGTTCTTTCCTTTAAGCTCTTAGGATTATTTAACATCATGGAATTGCTGGTTCTAAGAATAGCATGTATAATTTTCAGAAGTTTTTGCTGAATGATTTAACTCCCATTACTAGTTCACGTTAGTTCCTTTATTTCCTCATTGGCATCACACAAAATACCCTCTGAGGTGTCAGCCTAGCTTTGTCATTAACAGGGACGGAGGAGGAATGAATACAGACCCCCCCTGGGGGGGATCAAGAGTTTTTTCAAAGAGTTGTAGTTGAAAAGATAAGGAAGGTACAGGCTTTACTACAAAGAAAAAGAACAAAGGGTTGTGGAAAAGGAGAAGAGGCCCCAACAAATGAAGGGCCACCTGCCTTAGTTCTTTTGCTTGAAATCTGCTCCAGACAAAAAACCACAATAAAAATAGACCTTTGGGGGGAAAAAAAAGAACTATTAGATGTTTCTCTGATTCTGACTCTCAAACACAAATACCAATTTATACTGAGTGGAGTTTAACCAGTCATCTCAAATAAAACTTACCATAAATTATCTGCCCAAACAGTCCTGACCTGTGTGTCCTTTATAGATGGGAAAGAATTAGATCTTTCCTCTGAGAGATGACCACTTCATCAATATAAAGTATATATTTATGTGATTAAGTCTGTAAGAAAAGAGAAGCCCAAAATATTTTTTTTCAAAGTGAAAAAGTAAAGAAATTAATTTGAATAAAAGTAGAATTAGAAGAATAAGTCATAATCCTTCACAGTTGAGGAATAGTAAGGCTCTGTGGTGGTGTTTTCATTTTGCTTGTCTGTAGAATGAAGGAAAATGCAATAAAGCTATTTACCTAAGAGATAGCTTGAAAGTGTATCTCATTTTTTGCTATTAAAATGTGCAGCTTTGTCTCTTCAGCATTCTGAGTTGAGATTAATACTCATACTTGTAAATATCTGCTGGTGACTCATGGGGAGAACAGATATTTATTAAGGATTTTTTTTTTCATTGTCTGAGCTTGATTATACAGTTATTTTTATCCCTCTAGGGATATGAGGATTGGCTGAGACACAGAGCTGACAACGAAGTCAATAAGAGCACTGTTTACATTATTGAAAATGCAAAACGAGTGAGAAAAGAAAGTGAAAAAATCAAGGTATTTTTTAGTTCATTCCTTTTTTATTATGGTAAAAGAAGCGTAACAATTCATGATTTTTTAAAGCCATTTACAAATCACAATTTAGTGACATGTAGTACATTCACAATGTTATCTAACCATGTTGTTGTTGTTGTTGTTATGTGTCGTCGAGTATCCAACCATACCACCATCTAATTCCAGAACATTTTTCATCATACCAAAAGGAAACCCTGTACCCATTAAGTGGTCACTGCCTATTACTTCTCCACTCAGGCCCTAGAAAGCAGTAATCTGCTTTTTGTCTCTTTGGATTTATATATTCTAGATATTTCATATAAATGGAAATACATGTAGAGTCTTTTATATCTCACTTCTTTCACTTAGCATAATGTTTTCAGGGTTCTTCATATTGTAACATGAATCAGTACTTCATCCCTTTTTCATGGCTGAATAACACTGGATTGTATGGCTATATTACATTTTATTTATCCATTTGTCAGTTGAACATTTGGGTTGTTGCCACTTTTTGGCTGTTACGAACAGTGCTGCTATAAACATTCATGTACACACGTTTTTAATACTTTTGGGTATATTTCTAAGAGTAGAATTGCTGAGTCGTGTAGTAATTCCATTTTGAACATCTTGAGGCAACTACCAAACTGTTTTCCACAGTGACTGTACCATTTTACATTTCCACCAGTAAT